ACAACAGCAACTATCACTGCTGGCGCAGTCTCCAAAACAACAGCAACAACCATCACCGTTTTTACAGCTGTCACAACTACCATGACTATTGCTGCTACTGAAACTAGTATTATCATTACTGTCGGAAACTATATTGGTATCACCAATACCAAAACAACAGCAATTAATACATGAGCCATCATCATAGCGAGAATTTCGATTTGAACGCTTTGATTTTCTATAGCAACATCGTTTACGCTTCATTTGCTGTGGTCTTATATTTTTTGCAAATAATATTGAATTGAAAGTGTTGAGGTCAGTGCAATCTGTAGGTTGTTGAGTAACTTCGTGATGAGTTTTTGAGTTGTCAATGATGTCTTCATCTCGTTTCCGTTTGCTTTCATCATTTCTCTGCTCCACGATTGTCGACGGTTTAGTCTGGTCAGAGAACGTTGGTTGATCACTAATCGGTGCACTTTTTTCAATGGTATAAATTGAAGGTTCCTGTTGCATGTTTATGTTTAACCAAGAACAGTAGGAGTAGAATTATTAGAAAACAAATGTGACTTGCAGGTTATATATACATGACAGAATTAAACAAAACAAGTCATATTTCATTTGATTGACTCATTGACTATGACGTTTGTGACAGAATGACGAAAATGCATGTTTCACTGCTTTTACTGTCGTCAATGTAAAATTCGTTGACTCATGTGCCTCGTTCATAAATAAAGCAAACGGAAGACTGAATCATCACATTGGAAGATTCCTGAGTTCGGCTATTTTACTTTAGAAATTTCTTTCAACATTGCACTGTTCTAAAACGGCTTACTGAGATTGCATGGCAAAAATATTGTCAAAAAGAGGCTGTGTCATTGCAGATTCTGCTTGAACAACAATATGAAACTTCTATTCAATCATCTATAAAGTAAAATGACAATAAAATAACAGTGGTAGAATACAATTTCAGTCTTTAGACGTTTCGACACTTGTTACAGGTCATTATCAATAAACGAATAAATCATCGGATTTCACCGAAAAGAATTAATTAAGCTGATTGAATTGCCATATACCACCAGAGCAAAAATAAATTCAAATAAAATAATTGGCAAATATTAATAAAATGACAATAAAATAACAGTGGTAGAATACAATTTCAGTCTTTAGACGTTTCGACACTTGTTACAGGTCATTATCAATAAACGAATTTTTGCTCTGGTGGTATATGGCAATTCAATCAGCTTAATTAATTCTTTTCGGTGAAATCCGATGATTTATTCGTTTATTGATAATGACCTGTAACAAGTGTCGAAACGTCTAAAGACTGAAATTGTATTCTATCACTGTTATTTTATTGTCATTTTATTAATATTTGCCAATTATTTTATTTGAATCTATAAAGTAAGAAACAAGTTTCGAAATTACTGATATTTCTTTCGAAAAAAGACATAGTTGAGTGAAACTTTTCTCGGTCTGTTCATTGAATTCGACAATATTCTGAAGCTTCGAATAGCCTATAAGATTGTCGTTTATCTTCGACGGTTACCATATTATTGTCATTCATATCTATTTTTACTTCATTTCGTTGATTATTGTTCATTGTGTTCTGACTTGATCTTCTTCATTAGTTTCATTTTATCGTTTATCATTGAACCGCATCTTAGCATTTTTTCTCATTCAGCCCTAGACATAATGCAAAACTGTCGGTCATTCATGCCATTACTTATGACGAAATTTCTCGTAATAATATGTTGCACTGATTAGCAGTGCTGCTGATACTTTGAATATCATGCGATTTTCTAGAGATGAATTTGGGTCAGTCTTTACAGTATTTCTTCCAGTAAGCATGAGAATCAAATTGTTGCTTTGAAGTTTTCATTTGCTATGTAAAATTTGGTTAGCGAGAATGAAAATACACACTGTAAAGTAAGAGAAACTGCACAAGCGATTGGATTTCTTCGTTGCTTTCCCTTGTTGAATAATAATTTAATCGCTTATATTATGCTAGAATGAACAGATTTACCAGAAGTGTTTTTTATTTGAAATATAGTCTCAATGAACAATGGTGCCATAGTTGAATTGAACATCACAGAAAAAATTGTCAAAACAGGATTTTAAAGTAGGAACCATATTTCATAGAATAGTAATGTGCCAAGAAATTACAGACAGTTTGCACACTTCAATGTGTAACCAACTACCGAAATCAGATGAATCTAAGTAACTTTTTCCTCTATCAAATTATGTATATGCCTTTGTTCATTATTTGGACAAAAATAGTTGTTATATTCAACAGATAGATTCAAGTATTATTGTCAAGGGGAAACAACTAATTTCAATCAGCTGAAAATCACAATTAAATCACATAAATCATTTAAATCATATTAAATCATTTAAATCACCGTAAATAATTTTAACTCACCAGAAAATCACTTAAAATCAACTATTATGGGAATGTCAGAAAAAGGCCATCGGGCAAAATTTTGATAACTTTTTAACGAAAACAGCTAGAAACCTGTGGTTTTCACCATTTGAAGGAAGGCATTGGTGAACGTACGCCTATGGAAAAACAAAGTTTCTTCAAGTATTTGCTGTGCAAAGTTTCAGCGAACGAAATTTAGAAAAAATAGTAAGTTCCCAAACAACAATTTCCTTTTTTATATTTTTCGTTGCTCTAGTCCTTTGAATTCCCACTAGCAAAACGTTTTTACGTGTGTTCGTGCGAATAAAACGACTGTAATTCTACGAAGGAAGCAAAATCGAGCTGTTGCTTAGGTACCATATTAAAGAGCACTATTCAATGTATTAGTCCAGCAAAAATAAAAGTAAAAAGAAATGTTTTTTTTAGAGGGCTCGTTAATTTTCTTCAAATATCGTCCGCTGAAATTAGGACATAAAACATTTGGAGAACTTTTGTTTCTTCCATAGGGGCACAGGTCCTTCAATTCTCTCTTTTTGGAATGGTGAAAACCACAAGTCTCTAGCTGTGTTTATTAAAAAGTTATAAGCATTTTGCCCGATAGCCTTTTTTTAAAATTTCTATAATAGGTGTGTGAAAGCTGGAACTGTTCACCAGCTCAGTTCTCAGGAGCTGGAAAGGATTACCATAAGTCCTCAAGAACTATCTTATCGGGGTATTGATAGCTCCTCAAGGGCGTGGGCGTGACAACAGTTAAAACACACCCACACTCTTCCCAATGTAAGGCAGTTTTAGAAATGTAGCACAAACGTTGGAGAATCACTAAATAGTGCATTTTGTCGCCCTATCTAAGGCGCAAGTTCTGACAAAGTTTGACAAGTAGTCGCTTCTTCTGAGATTAGCACCATTCATCACAGTGGACCTATAATTATCACTTTTGATCAAAAACAGTGTCAAGTTTATAAGAAATCATCTTTTTTTTTTTCTTCTGATTATTATGTGATTAAAGATGTTAGATATATAAACTTGTAGCTCATCAAAAACTCTGCATAACCGTATATAACGAATATTTTTTACGACATCCTTCGATTACCTTATAGGGACTATACTGATTAGCTATTTATCACCATTTTGGACCCAATCCCTCCATCAGTAAATTGTTCATAAGCTTTCCTAAACTTTTTAGAAAATAGACTTATCATATACCATTGAATGCGCCTTGAAATTCTCTACAAGATGGTACGTTTGGATTTTCAATTCTGGATAGGTCATCTTATCCCACAGGCTCCTTTATAGGTTTTCGAAAATTTTCTACTTTTTTCGATAAACATAGGAAAAATAGGATTTCTTTAGAAAATATAGGTCGAATCGCAGCTCAGAATTTAATGTTCACTACTTCACGATGCGGCGACAAAGTTAGTGATTATATCCTTTCCTCTATCGTATTTTTAGCTATATGTACCAAATATCTTTGTCGAACAATAATATGCCTTAATCTAAAAAAATAAACATCCCTTGTAATTATAGAATTCTTTGCTCATAATATTTTCATTGTCAAAAACGAAATCAATACAATGAATACTATCATCTCTATAATACAAATGTACTTTGACGGTAAGAGTGAGAGTGAGTATAATCATAAAATACAGGAGTTGGAAAAAGAAGAAAATTGTAACTATCTCAAGGATTCCTGAGATTTAATCACGATGATTGCAAAATGCTTTATATGTGACAAAAAGCCTTAAAAATATGTGCCGCCATCGCGCCGAGACAATATACAATTTTATTTTTCGATCACAATGCAACACCAAACACATAAGATTATATTAACAACTGTTTTTCACAACAGCGCAGTTTCAATAGAAGATTTTGTCTTCATCGACAAATCGCATTTTTCGCATTGTACTTAATGTTGCAAGAAAAAAAAAATTATAATTTATATCAGAGATTTTTTTTTCAGATAAATTCAGATAATATCAGAACAATATTGAGGTGACAATAGAGAAAAATAATTATAGACATCTTCGGAATGAAACATTAAACCTTCAACAATTAATCGATTGACTCTGCCACAATTGCGTCGTGTTTAATCTCTTGTAAAGTTTTTCGTTACCTTTTTCAAGTTGTCAGAATTGACTTTTAATTCTGTTAAATGCGGTAAATGTGTTTTCATTTCATTGAGAAAATATTCGACATAATGAGAATGTACATGTTTGATGTTAAGTGAAATAAGATGAGGATATTCAATAATTGAGTACCAGTCTTTATCACGAAGATGAAGTTTATGACATCTCCAAAATGGTGACTTAATATTCCAAATAGAAAACTTTTTAAGAAATGGAAAAGCTTGAGTAAGTCGAACAAAAAATTCATGTTTGAATTCATCTTTGTCCCATAATTTCAAATGAGTAACAGCATTAAATACAATATTTGGAATGTTATTACCGATGTTTTGGAGAAGATGAAATTTAAATGGAAGTGAAAAAATGCGACATATCATTCTTCGAGATACATCAATCGACGAAGAAGAGGTAAAATTTGAATTTCATATCCTTGGGTACGACGATAACATGTTAATGCGAAACATTTTAAACTAGGTAGATCAACCTGAAAAAAAAAGAAAGAAAATATTTATAAATTCATTTTTATTAATTAAGCTAAGAAATAAATTGACATCAACCATTAATCGATGGATATAAGTCATTTTTAAAATTCTATTTTTTGAATGTTTTTTTCTATTCTATGAAATATATCCATTCCCTAGTAATAATGATAATAATCTGGTATTTATTAAGTTCTCACGATGACGTGTCGAAATGTCTACAAGAGATGCCGACATGAAAGAAATGTCGAAAGTTCTATCATAAAACAGAATAATGACAAGGCATTCCGTCGTATATGTTCTTTTCTTCACCCCGACAATGTCTCACCCTCCTTTTATTGCAGTTCACTTTTGCTTTTTTATAACATCTAACATTTTCGCTAGTCGACGTTTTACTTTTTGACAAACTGCTTTGTCGACATTTTTCTATGTCGACTTTTTTTTGTCAACATTTTGAATTCGACAGTTTCCTACTTTCCCATATTCAATAAGATCCATTATATAGCTATTATAATAATAATTGTTAGTAAAGAAAATAAATAGTTCTTTTGAATAAATATGCTCATTTCAATAGTAAAGGTAAATGAGGCTTAAAACAAAACTCGATTGGTTAAAATGTTTATTTTTCAATAAAATGTTTAATTTGTTTTAACGTAGATGAATAAGTTCAACATAGTTATTATGAAAGATATAATAAGAGAATATTTTCTATCAAATCATTTAATAACTAAAATCATTGATTAACTATTTTCAAGTGAGTAATGATTAATTATTTCAATAATCTAGAATAACGTCAAAATAATTCCAATAATCTATTCTATTTATTTCTTGATAAACAAAACTAAAATATCATATTTATTAATAATGCAAAATTTTCATTGTTTATTACACTTCTAACTAAACTTTATTGTCTCCGATATTAAACAGTAATTAGAAAAGTAGTATAATAGTACGGAGCATGAACTCACCCTGTTGAGAGATGTTAATATCAGATCGCTGATAATACCAACTTGGATGATAAGTGTAGTTAATTGTTTGAGACGACCATCAAGTAAAAAGCGTAAACATCATTAAAATCATTTACATTGATATATAATTTAGTCAATATCGAAGAAGAAAAAGTCATTGGTGGTAAAAAAAAATAAGGATAAAGATGGATAATCGTTGACAGATGACGACACAATACTAAAATGCTTTAGATTTTCAAACAATACAGAGATAATTTCATAAACACTTTTCGTATAGTCTTCTCGTATTATTTCAATATTGTTTTCATTACTAACAAGAACAAGATCTGCAATTTGTTGTTTAGAAATATGTCCAAAGAGAAAATCGTCTAAACAAAATAGATATCATATAATCTGAGCATCGGAATTTTTTTTTATGCTAATCTTTTCAATGATCAGTAAACATGAATAACTTACCCATGAAATAACGTGAAACCATTGCTTTATTAAAATTATAAAGTTTAAGTTCAGTAAGATTAGGATAGTTACCAGCACGAAGGATACATTCTATCGAAATGGAATCAAGAATGAGACATTTGACATTTATATGAATTCATGGTAGTATATTATTACAAAATCGATCGAGTATTAGATCAGAAATTGAAGAAATCTCATCAATTGATTGTGATATGGAAACAAAATTAAGGGTGTTACTGAAGATTTGTCCTTGTGCCATAATGTCAAGTCGCTGATTGTTGATACCAAGTAAAGAGTAAAGAACATCAATATTGTCAAGTTTTTTTAAAATAACAAATAATATTTCACTAGGAAGATCAACAAGATGAACACCATTTTGATTCATCTTTAAATGTGGTTGCAACACTTTTCGTAAGATATATATATATATATGCTTATCTATTAATTCTTTGTTCATAAGCACTTTTCTTATTGAAGAAAAAAAGATTGACTTTTTCTATCGAACGAAAAAGTATAACATTTTTGTATAGTCCAATATCTTCGTAGACAGATGTTTCTTTTTTTTTCATTATTTATTTCTATGTTAATGTGATCGATGTAGGATTTAACATCAAACATAAATAGGAAAAAACGGGCTATGTAACAATTGAGAGGGTGTGGATGTGGGCGTGGGGGTGGGGGTGGATGTATACGAGGACAACATCGGCATATCCTACAGGCAACAAAAAAGATACAACATATTGACAGAAAAAGAGTTGCTTGAATAAAAGAATATATATATGCTAAATTCTATCTGTGTCTACATGGCAGTGGTTGTCACCGTTATTACTTGTATTTATTCCTGAGGAAAGAAACGACGATAGCATTGTATTATTATTCGCTTGAGTTCTTGCCTAAATATACTCGCTGTTAGAGTATAAATATAGAAGCCAACACAATTCCGAATGTAGAATAGAGTTAATGCCAATGCGAAGAAAAACAACTCCCAGGTGTTTTGAACAGTATCCTTCTGCCAATTGGCTGATACCACATTATACAACTAAATGACAGATCGTTATGTTACTTTCTAATATAGCGAAATTGAAGCAGTTCATACCTGATAAGCTCCTCCTGGTATGGTAAATATAATATAGACCAGTACTTGAAAAAGTAACATGCGCAAAAGATGTCGATCTTTTCGTTGCATATATCCTCCTCTTGTCATTGGATGAATTCGCCTTTGTGTTTCTCGAACGTTAACAATGGTAAGTAAGCCAAGGATGGCCATGAGTGTTGGTGGTAAAAGATAATTGACGATGATTGAATATAAAGCTACAAAGAGCGTATAGGAACCTGGCTCAAGGTAACACTGTGTATAGCCGGATCTTGAAGAAATTGTCGAGCCAAATAAACTATGAATGGAAAAGAGCATCCAGAATAGAGATATACAAGCTATCGATCGATAGGCAAAGCGCGGTTGACTCCACGAACGTGCTCTCACATTTCGTGAACTCAACAGCAATCGATCGATACAAGCCAAAACCATAAAACTTGGTGGTAGAATAGCCGCAATGTATGTAAGATAGAACTGGATCTTGCAAAAGACCAGCGACGTTCGCGCTGGATAGATGTTATAGCCTACGTAATGATAGTAACTACACAGAACATCAAATGTTTGAAAGCTTACCAAGGGAAAGACCACTGAGAAGAATACTGTAGTTGATAAAAAACAATTGGGTGCATGAAGCAGCAAGAAAATATATGCCACAAGGATTAGTTCGAAAAATGCGTTGAACAAAAATGATAATGTTTAGAATTTCGCCAATATTGCCAAGAATAAGCAAAATTGGTGTGCTTATTCGAACAAGAGTAATCTGAGTATTCAGAATGGCTTGAATGGTAGCCAACATTTCTATAGTGGTTGCGGACATTGATTCGATTATACTCTTTCAAATATGCGCTGTGTGATGCTCGCGATGTTATTCTCAAGTTGTACTCAACAACCTGAAACGTTATTTTTACGTCTTGCATTATCGTCAGAGTATATATATATATTAGAGAAAGGACTTCTACACTTATAATTTTATTTGCATTCTTTTTTTTAAATCATTCCCATATATGAAAAGAAAACAAAATTATTCTGTCAGATTAATGAGGGACAAATGAGCTTGATTTAAGATATGTTATTGTTCATTATAGAGTGTATGCAAATCGTCAAAAGTGAAAAGATCAAAGTGATATCAAAATTAGTGTTGACTCTTTCATCTCATATAAAGCCTTACTTATCTTTTAAAAGAATAAGGTATTATTAAAAAGAAGTAATTAGTGAACCAGAGAAAATCTTATAGGCAACATATTATGTACAATGCGTGTGCGTAACAAACTGTGCGCGGCATTGAAGACAGTGTTAGAAAACAAAAAAGCCTATAAAAAAATGGTATTTTTCAAGAAAAAAATATGTCACAGTATGTCAAGATGAAAACGGCAAAAATAACATTTAAGATGCGTCTGTTTGTCATTTTCATCCTAGCAGAAAAGTACAATCTGTTTTTTGGAAACGTTATGGTTTAATCATTTGTCTATTTGAGTGTATTCTCAATGTTAAGAGTTCTTGTGTCTTTCCAACTCTAATAGAGTTTATTTAAAAAAGAAAAAGATTGTTATGCTCTTCTTTTCTATTACACAATATTAAATGCACTTCGAGTTCATTTTAGGAAGAGCATAATTCCCTCGACTGTACGGAGAGTCATATAAAAAAATAGTTTGTTTGCTTGTCGTCGGGTCAAAGGTCAAAAAAACATATCCTTAGGACGGACCCAAATATTGGAGTTTGGCGAAAGGTTTTCGCTGTCGGAGAATTCGAACCTAAAGTCAGTTTCTCAAAATTGCGAATTGAATTTTTAGGGTCAAGGGAAGTGTTTTTTGAGAAAATAACGATATTTTTATAAAGGTTGACGAATGTAAATCGAGGTCGGAGAATCCGAATCTGAAGTTAGTTTTTCAAAATTTTGAATTCAGTTTTTTGGGTAAAGGAAATTTTTTTTTTAAATTGTTAGGGTGAAGAAATGAATCGAAAAATTGAATAGTTTAATCTGTTAGCGTTTTGTTTTTTTGTTGGAAATCTTTTTAACAGTATGAAGAAGAAAAAAAAACAAGAATTTCTATTTAAATATAGAGCATTGAATTAAATAAATTAATAAAAGATGAAATTGAAATAGCACATGAATATGAAAATAAAATTGAAATAAAAGAAAAAGAATATATTGAACAATTTCATCAACTTGATATTTATTGTCAATCTTATTTAAATAAAATGGAAATGAAAATAAAAGAATTACGTAAAAAAAATTATATTTTAAAAATGAATACGAACAAAAACAATATGAATTAATCAATGTTAAAGAAAATAAAATTAAAAAATACAATCAAAATAAAATCGAACATTATAAAGATATTATTATTCAAGATAAATTTATTTTATCTACTATTGAACATTTATATTTAAATGAATCTGAACAAATTGAAATAATTAATGATTTATATCAAAGATATATTGAAATAATTCATTTATCATATAGAAATAATATAAAAAATATTAGAAATTTTTTTTTCAAGTATACGTTTTAATAAAAGAAACAAAAAGAACGAATAAGAGAAATAATTTCATTTAATAGAAGAATAAACATTTAAATGAACGTATGAATATTTCGAAGATATTAAATATTTCATTGATAAAGATGCTGATATTGAATTAAATCTTTTAAATGAAGAATATATTAAGAAATTAAATATTATTTTAAATAAAATCGAACAATTAGAAAATGAACAAGTTTTAATTTAATATAAGAGTGTGTTTTTTTTTATAGTTGACATTAATATTTTTAACTTAATTTAATTTAGATCGAACAACTTAAACAAGAATCAAATTATTTTGAAGATGATATAAAACAATTAGAATTTGAACGACAACAATTAATTGATCAAATTGGACAAATTGATAATGATTTAAATCTAGCTATACAAACAATTTAACAAAGAAATTTTATTATTCAAGATAAAGTTTTATTCACATTTGCCTTCTTTTTTCTTCGAAAATATTTTTTGATTATTTAGTTAAAACATACAAATGATATGGAAAATCAACAAGATGAATTAGAAAAATTTGCATATGTTTTTAATTATAAAATTCGAGAATTAAATAATGAAATAGCTCCTCGACAACATGAAGTTAAAGCTTTAATTAAACAATATAATAACGTTATTATTTTTTATTTATCATCTATTTATAAAAAAAATATTTTATTTTATTTATGTAGATGGATAATGAATATGATATAGTATGTCAAAATAATGAAAAATATTCAATAAAACTAGCTGATTATAAAGCAAAATTAAAAGCAACAGAAAAAGAACTTTAATATGAAACAATCACTGTAAGTTTTTATATTTTTTATTAATATTTTGATTATTTTATTTTAAAGATTCGTAAATTAAATGAAACAATTGCAAATATGAAAGAAGATTTAAAATGATATTGTCATTTAATTGATTAAACCAAAACAATTAATAAAAATTATTCGAAATATTTATGGAAAATATATTCTTCAAGTTCATGTTAGTTACTTTTTTTTTATTTGAATCAATTCTATTTTGTGAAAATAATATTCGAGTAAATAAAATTCTATCGAAAAATCTACTTAAATAGTTAATATCATTTGAAAAACGACGTTTTTAGTAAGAGAAAAAAAAGATAAAGTGACTTTTCGTTTCACTTTTTCATTAAGAACTCCGGTTGAAATAGTTTCTTACGGCTTTCGGACATTAGAAAGAAAGGGATGTTCTGAATGAAAGCTGTCCAGAAGATCGTGTCAAACTCTAACAACCTATTGTGAGTGATTGAACAGCAAAATTTTGACCGAAGAGAGGAAAAAGAAAAGTTTGGAAGCTTGTAATAACAACGATAGGGTGTCTTGTCCATAAAAACAGAAGCAAATGTCTTAATATCCGTTTTTAATTCTTTTAGGAACTTTCTGACAATGTCATTTCATTTTTCTGTAAAAATACCGTTAGACATACATTCCGAATATCTAACCTTGTTCATTATGATGTTCGATAGGTACATCAGACATAACAAAAAGTATTCTATTTCTAACACATGGTCATACTATTCTGATTTTCCTGCTTTCCTATTATGGTCTTTCAAAGGAAAATGTTTACGAACACTAGCCATAAATATTTAAGGACAAAAATTCATTTTTGGAATGCCTGAATACATGTCCGGAGTTTGAAATTACTTGACATGAAAAGTACATCATTCAAAAGAAAAACACTTCTTTGTTGACTGAACAATATCTCAATCTTCAAATAATAGGTGAATATTAGTTCGAACAAATAAATTCCTATAGTAAGAACGATTTTTAAAATCTTAACTAAAACTTAACTCGAAATCGAGCTATAATCATATTATAGATATAGGATATATCGAATTATTCTAGATGAAAATAAGACTTTTAATCTATGTTATTGTGTTTGAAGTCTCTTCTATTTATTGAAAATTCCTCATTAATATTTGTATCTGTAACGAAATTCAAATATTGTTTTGCTATTAGAATATGTTCATGATGGTATAATTATAAAATAATTTATTGTTGGAGTGATTATTGTAGAAAAATATAATCTAATTCATATAAGGTTGTCCGAAATGCTCGTGCAACTAGCCTTCTAACATATAGTTTCGAGCATTGTGTATAGCATCCATATATAGGATAGTACACCGTTTTTCACCTAATTGCTTCATTGCCTTCTTGAGAAAAGAAAGAAGTTTTCACGATCCAGTTATTCTGATTGGGTACCTTTGTATCTCGTTAATCAGGGGGCATTGCAAGTTAAGGGTGTGGGTGTGGGGTGTGGGTAGGTGTGGGTGTGGGGTGGGTGGGTGTGGGTCTGGGTGTGGCTGTCCCACACTCACACCCACACTCACCCCGCACCCACACCCACACCCCACACCCACACTCGACACCCACCCCACTATTTGCAGCTTATGGAGAAGTCTTTGAATTATTGGATTTTGATTTTGAAGTCGGTTACGAAATTTAATTTAACAATTGTTACACCAAAAGTATTTCTTTAATTCCTAATATGAAACTTATTTTGCGTGTCTTATCTGATGTTTAATGAAGACTTCAATTTTTTCAAGGCGTGTTCTTATTTTATTGAAAAATCAAACGAAGTCATTCAGGATTAAAATGAAAGTTCTGAAAAATTTAGTTCGTAAATGTAATCAAATAAGTCGGATAGGCCACACGGTTTTCGTAAACAATGTAAACTTTACTGCCACCTGTATCGCCTGATACACTGTTATGTCGAAGACCAGATTTTGTCTCATTTTTTTTCGGGGATCGACGCAATTTTGGATCACTCTTGCAGTCATATACATCCCCTGTCAGCACTTGGGCTAAGAACACTTGCCCTTTACCATCCGGTAGTTTATGATCATAGCCGTTGCATGAGTATGAAGCATTTTTCGCAAAGTATGTGCCAATACCCCACATACCACTCGTACTATATGTCATATCGAAACCATATTCACCATTGTAGATTTCACTGGGTGATGTCTCTTTCGTTCCATGAAATAGTTTCATTTCAATTTGTAAATTAGGCATATGACTCAGTTCCTTTTTGAGCTCTCGACGGCGAAACGCATAGTGATTCCACATACGTAAATTTTGTACTCGTTCAATCTTATGGATTTTTACATCTTTCATAGTTTCTTTCATACGATTTTCAATACGAGTAAAGCTGAGATGATTCCTAGGAATCTCAACTAGCTTGAGATTTTCACTTTGATCACCCCATTCTTTCGGTATGTCCAATTCACTATCGTTATCTATGTGCTTTTTCAATATGTCTTGAGCGTATATGCTAATCTTTAATTTTGCTTCTTGTACATTTGGTTTTAAACCTTTTAATATCATCGATAGTTGTCCTCAACATTCTTGTTGAAAATCGATTTGAATTTGTTGTTAATTAGCAATTTTGACGAGTTCTTTTTTATGTATATTAAAGTCTTTATTCAGATTTATGGAGAAAGGTTCTGAAATCGTGGCAGATTCAATTGCTTTTCGAATCGTTGCTTCAGCTTTTTGTATAGCTGCATTCGTAAGACCAATTATATCCCAATCGACTTTGGTCGTTTCTAATTTCAAATCATATTGATCTAATGGTTTGAGATGATACATAACAGGCATAGATTTCGGTTGTTGTGTAACTGGATAACGAATGATTGGTCGTTTATAGCCTGTACTATCTCTCATTTGATGTCCTGAGACAAAACGACTATTTAGCATATTTGGTGTGTCTCTTAATAATTGCTTCAAATTTGGAAGAAAATGAATACTGTAGTTCACAATAATACCGCTTCGTAAATTATCAGCAGGAATCACTAATGTCGGCATCTTAGAAGTTTTTAAATAATGTTGAAATGCAGCCTCAATTTGACGTGCATGATTTTCATCATAGATTTTCTCACCATCATCATCTTGCCAACACCATTTAGCCGTCAATGTAGGTAACTCATAGTTAATAATATCGTCATCATCTAGAAGTCCACTTCTATGATCGATAGCAATTTCACGTGCAAATGAATTACAAGCTGCTTCATCCATGTCTAATAGAATAATTTTTCTCAAATGTGATTGTGGATAATTGGCGAAGAATTGTTTCACTGCACGAACCACAATATTTGTACAATCTGCTAATGGAAAACCATAAGTTTTAGAGCTGATAGCTGGTAAAGCAACACTTGCATAACGTTCATTTTCAGCAAGTCTCAAACTAGATAAAACACTAGAGAATAATAATGGACGTTCGTTTTGATCACCATCTGTATATTGAGGACCAATTGCATGAATAACAGATTTAAGAGGAAGATTGCCAGCTGTTGTCTTAACTACTTTACCAGCAGAAATAGGTAAACCTCCATTCTTTGCAATTAATTGTTTACATTCTTGATCAAATGCGGGACCAGCAGCATCAGCAATCGCTTTATCTACACCACCTGCATGATATAATGTTCCATTAGCTGCATTCACAATTGCATCGAGATTTTTTACCTTAGTTATATCACCTTTTTCTACGACAATGGTTTGACCTCGACTGTTTACAACAATAGTTATCAATGAGTTGGTATCATTTTCATTGATCTTTAATGTTAAATCAGTTTTATTTGTTGCAACATCACAAATCACAGTGTTTGTTTCTCGTTCAATACTCTTTACTAATTTATACGCATCAGTTCGAAACAAGTTTGACTCGGTTGATGACAACTGTAAACGACGAGTAATGATATTTTGCTTAATTTCATTGATAACAGAATTGATCTTTTGTTTGAGTTCCGTAACAGTATTAGGAAGACCGTGCAGTTTCAATCCATCACGCTTTTTAGATTCTACAAAAACTTTTTGTTGTTTTGCTTCATCGAATATTGGATTAATAATTTGATTAACAAAACGACGAATATTAGGTTGAATAGGAATGAATTCAGATATGCGATTCGCTCGAAGTTGTTTTTCTTCTCCTAAACTTAGTAAAGCTTCCTTGATATCATCTGCTATCATTTTCGATCGTGCAGGAATAATGATAGTATTCGTATTTTGATCTAATCGTATATCAGTTTCCCATTGCTGTCGAAATTCATCAACAGACGCTGACTTTTTCACTACTAGCGCATTAACTATCGCACGATACTCATTGGAAGATAGTTTCCAAATAACATAACCTTCTACAATATTTTGACATTGTTCAATAACATTCTCAACTGCTTCTTCGTTCAAACCAACTATTGATATAGTAACTTGTGGTGTAATATCTTGTCTTTCTGTCGCTGTATAAGTTTTTAGCCATCCTATTGCTCCACAATCATCTGAGTTTTGTAGTTCTTTCAGACGTATACGAAGACTTTGGGAAACATTCTTTGAAATATCCCAACTATGACAAGAAAATTGTTTTTCTTGTTCGAATAAACTTTCAAGAAAATCTTCTACTTTCTCTCGTGCGAAACTAATGTGCGAATAAGAACCACTGAGTTTCAAGCAATTGGTGTCATCATCTTGTTCATGATCCACATGTTTTCGATAAGCTGTTGATATAATTGTTATTTTTATATGATCAGTTTTTTCCATTTTCTTTATATCAGACGAAGCTTTTGTTCGGAGAAAAATTGACATAACTTTGGAAATAGGAAGTTGTACTTCAGTTTCAACATTATCATTTAGCCAGTTCTGTATTTTCGATACAGCGTTGTTTACATGGTCCTTGAATCCTCTCACTTTCACACGCTGTGCGCCATTTTTATGATTTACAAAGATTGTTACTATGGAATTCGGAGTGGATTGGACGAGACCACTGAGATAACTTTTAATATAAAAACATTGATTACGAACTCTTTTTTTAAAAGGCTTGCTTAGTTTCGACTGTTTTAAAATGTATGCAATCTCATCTTGTCTTAATGGCCATGATCGGGTGTACAAAATATAACTTTGTAATTCTTTTATGGCTTCAGATAATAAATCTTCCAAGTCATTACATAATGTAACTTTTATAAATTTTTGTGAAAAATTACGACGATGTTTAGAATTACTCGATATATTTGTGAAATTAGATGATGTATTTGAAATAGTACTCTTCCGATCATCATCATCACTATCTTCATCCTCTTGTTCGTCTTCGGATTGATTCATATTATGATCATTATCATATTGATTTCTTCTTTCATCTGCATCATGCCTATTTTTAATTGTTATCATATCATTAGCAGTCGAAAGAGGACCTGCTAATATTTCCGAATAAGAAATTCCTACAGAGTATTTTTGTAAAAATCTCTTCATTAAACGTCCTTTAGCAGATAGCAGTAAATATTTCTTCAGATTATTTGTAATCATCACATTCTGTTCGTGAAGCGTCTGTTGGAGATAAGACTTTACATTTATGATTGCTGAACTATTTCCCGATAGTTCAATTTTACCATTGTTAAGTTTTACGTTTTTAATACCTTCTTCCTTAAGAATTTTATCCAAGATTTTCTTACCAAGAGATTCCAGAAAATTTTGCTTGGCAGCACTTAATTCAATCATTTCTGATTGTTCCTTCGCTGAATCAGGAATAACATTTAGCTTGTTATACGATAACAACGGAATGGTAACTGGTGATTTGGCATATTTAGGTGGATGCAAGTAACCACATGTCTCATTGTTGGAATAATCTTTATTGGAACAAAGCTGAAGTCGACCGCTAGAATGACTTTTTTCAAAATCCCATTTTTGACATTTTGTACCCCACAAACATTCATCAGCAGACATATTAGGATGAAGAAGTTTACAATTATTGGTGCTACATCGGTTTCCGTGAGGACATTTTTGTTTGCGAGTAGGTGGATGGTTAGAATTACAGTCATAGCGAGTACATTGTACTCCATTATTACAAGCACTCCACCCCGCCGGATGTTCGAATCGGCAATCAGGTTTGAAACATCGGATTCCATTAAGACACAGTTTCTAAAAACGATACAATTTTAATGCATTCTTTTGCTAAGGATGAATCATTTCCCATTCTTGACTTACAGAAGATAATGGTCTTGTATGAGCTAGAGGACAGTTGGACTGTGAACATGAATCAAAATTTCCGCATGGTGTATGGAGATATTTACATTCATCGGCGGTGTAGCGGCATTGACCTCTATTTGCATAAGGACAAAGTTCATGTTTAAATACAATGTTCGGAGCATTTGTTGGAACTCGAATACATGAGACTAAAAATAAAGCGCAAGTTTTATATTTTTCAATTTAAATTATGTTCAGGTGAAGAAAAGAAATCGAACAGAGCTGTAGAGAGTTACCAGTAGAGCCGAATAGAATTTTCACATAAAATCATATTATTATCATATGTGTAGCTTTTTTATATTTTAAATATTTAAGGGAGATACTACTTATACTTTTGATATATCCCTACGTCTTAGCAAAATACTAGGTCCAAAAAACGTTCAATCAGTTGCTGAGGTTTCATGTTAAACAAAGGACAGCTTGTAAATTAGAATTCTTGGATGAGTTATTTGTGAAAAGTCTAATCGAATAAAACTACATCCCTAAATTTTCTATTGGAAAAGTATTTAGAAAAAAAAATATTATTAATTACCAGATAATGTTTTATCTATACATGGGAATGAATCTGAAAGTACAGAATGTATTTGGCAAAGTATTGACTTTAGAAAAATTGTTAAGTTTCAAAAATATACTCTAATGAGACTCGTCGATAACGTGTTTAGAGAAGTATATTGTTGTGTTTCCTATACAGACACCGAATATAGTGCCACATTTCAAATCGTAAATTTTCTTTTCTACTATGAACAAAACTTACTTGATCGTTGCTGTGATGGGTGCATATTCTCCCCATTTTGACATTTTTCGAAAGATGTAGGAATGGTATTCATTGTAGCAAGATCTTTTTGTGATCGAGTATCCACAGAGTTTTCTCGTGTTTTACGTTGAAAATTCATATCGTCGTCTTTAGGTTCAGCTAAAGAATATTTTATATGTAAATTAGAAACGATGAATTATCAGTTTTGAAGTACGAATGGCATAGGGTAATATTCAGTTTTTTTTTCATAAGTGAGAAGTAGTTATGAAGAGAAGATAAATGAGTGTTTTATCGTACAACAAGAACAAAAATAAATCTGAATATGGAAAATAGAAGAAACGACGTATCTTTGATAGACTATAATTTTGTGTAAAAATAATCGATCAGTGCATTAAAGAATTGTCTTACTTATATCTGCATTTTGAACAGAAATATTTAATTTTCTCTACGAATGTCCTACTTTTTGCTTGCATTATAGGTATTTTTTCATTATTAATCTAACATTCTTAATATTAAAATCATCGATTTATTAACAAATAAGTGTGTTTCATATATCTATGATACTTATAGGAAGTCCTTCACAATATCATATATATTAATCATGTCACATATAACAACATTCATTATTTGTTAAAATTGTAACTTGATTAGTTTTCCGAAGAATCTCTAGAACATCTAACATCTTTTACTCTCGATTGCTGAAGTTTGTCATAGAGGCTGCTTGCAATGGAATGAGAGAAGCCGAAAAAACTCACTCTTCAACATTTGCGCACTAATATCTTTGAAAATATATATCTGAGCTCCGCAAAATCAGAAAGAAAATGAAAGTAAAGTTCGGCGAAGTAACAAAATAAAAAATGGTACAACACTACACGATAATTGGCATGAATGGCAAGTAAGGGTGAGAAAGCGAATTCAATGATTTCATTGATTCTTTGCGATTAGATTGGCTTTGAAAGAGGATCAAAATACAGCATTCAGACGTTCGAAGTCACATGAATCATTCAAAATCAATAAATTCACTTAGGAAACCATCAGTCTAGTTGGAGGGGGTACCCTGAATGTCGATCTAAAGTTGATTCAATAAACAGAATTTTGTTTTTCGACTGATGATTTTCTATCTCAAAGAATCAGAAACCGCTATCGGTTTGTTAACATTTTCAGTTTGAGTTTTTTTTTTCTAAAAAAATCTTCTTTAATAAAGAAAAAACACTTTTATAAGAAAAATATTGTTTCTATGAAAAAAAATTTAAAGAATAAGTATCACTTTCTCAATAATTTATTTTTAAGAAAAGAAATCGATTTTTGCTGAAAACTGAGTTTTTTAATAGAAAACATTAAACCTACAATTGTAAGCGAGTAATGGCAGATTTAACTTTCTCAGTTTCCAGTGACACAATAAATATTTATTATTGAATCAACCAAAGGTCAGTGTAATGTATGCCTAATACAGCCGAGTGGAATAATCAAAATCACGCAGAATTGCATGCAATTAGATATGCACTGATTCCATTGATGCTCAGTGAATCGATTAATATTTCTTACAAGTCTCAGAAATATATTCTTCTGTTTTGTACTCTATTATTCCATCGACTGTATTTAAGAGTATGATTAAGTTCTTATATATTTAGAGTTTTCTATGGATTTACAGAATTGTAAATAACTTT